CGATCGAGAAGAGCCGGTTTTTCCATCCCTTGTTGTTCCCGAGGAGGCTCTCGATCGCGCACATGTCGGCCCGGGATTGTATCATCAGAAATCCGCCCCCGTATTTGGCCGGCAAGGTCTTCACCTGGTAGATGAAGTTGAAGACCTCCATCGTGCACGCTACCTTATGCCGAGTGCATATCTGCGGGAAACACGCCAAGATCCTATGCGCGTTCGGGCAGATTTGGGCCGGGACCACTCGGTAGTAGCCTAGGAAGGCGGTCAGAAGGCCGAAGAACGATACCTGGATCGGGGCCAGGAGCGAGTCATAATGCATCCCGATCCATTTACCTTCATGCCTGTCAATGATGTGCCCCAGATCGCGGCTGACATCAAACCGGACCCGACCGGCGAGCAGAGCGGAGAGTCTTGTAGCTTCCGCCTTTGTCAGGAGGCTGTATTGCTGCTCGACGCTCTCCCGGTTTAGGAATACGAATTCCTCGGTAGCCGGGGCAGGCGGCGCGGCCGGATTTTCCTCGACCGGCTCGAACGCGGCTTCCCGATCGGCAGGAGAAGCAGCTGGTTCAGGGTAATCCCCAATTACCCGGGTCGGGGTGCCCCGAGTGCTTCCGGTCGGGGACTCTGGCGAGCTCGTTGACATTTGGCCACTCTTGCTACTCGAACTGCCAGATTCGCTCGAGCTTGACGTTCCCTCCGAGTTGAATGACCTTCCCTACTCGGGGGTTCCTTGTGGTCGTTGTGCGACTTCTGGGGAGTAGGACATGATGTCCACTTCTTCGCTGATTTCTTCGACTGCGTCATCATAGTCCGCGACCGACACGTTCTGACTATCCGTATCCGACATGGTGACTACCTAAAGGGCGGTCGGGACATTATTAGGGTCGGGTACGACCCGGGTATGGTCGGTTAATGCCTAGAGACGGCTATGAAAGAAAAGGGAAATGCGAAATTTAAGAAATTGGGAGAACAAAGGACTTACCGATTGGTTGTGGTTGGTGGCGAATCTGGAAGTTCTAGTTGATCCGACTGGTTCGCTCGGGATGCTCTTGCTATACCGATCGACTCAAGAAGATTGGGAAAGGTTCAAATGAAGGCCTCAAGGGCCTATTTATAGGAGAGCGTTTGGGCGGGAAACTAGCCCACTTGCGCGACGTGACCGTTGCAGACTTCGAGGCGACCATTGCATTCGCAGAGGCCGGCAGTTGTCAACACGTGGCGAGGGAGGGAATGACAGCTGGCCGGTCGGTTTGGTGGCTGATGGTTGGGCTTCTTCATCCCGTCCCGTTTTTTCCCGGACGGTCAAAAGGCCCGGGCTGGGGGGGGCTCTTGGTAGGGAATACCCCGACCGACATAGCGTTACCCCGACCGGTGAGCCTTCGTCCTTTTCTTCTTGTCTTTGCAGGTTACAGGTCGGGTTTCTTGTGAAGAACCCGGTCGGGATCCGACCGGGAGTTACCCGAGCGACAGTGTCGATCACCGAGCGGTAGCCCTTTAGCGTGAGAACTGACGAGGGACACGTGGCGGCTCCACGCGTTGACAGGCAGGGCACCCGGGAAGGCGACACGTGGTTGCTACGTGGGAAGCATGCCGAATGACCGGATTTGTGTCTCCGGCTCCGCGGCTATAAATACCCGCGACAGCGACAGTGTGGGGGACTTTTGGACGATCGATAGGTTGTTGTTAGAGAATCCCGACCGCATTCAGTCGGTACTCAGAGCAACCAAGTAGATTGTACTTAGGGCCTTCACTGTGATCAATAAGAGTTATTTATTTGCTTTAATTGGTCTCGTGTTTATTTAATTACCGATATATATATATATATATATATATATATATATATATATATATATATATATATATATATATATATATATATATATATATATATATATATATATATATATATATATATATATATATATATATATATAGACTTGCGTTCAAATGAGGACAAGTATATTATAGAGGACTGTGATGACGGATGTAGTGTGTGCCATTAGCCTGTATGTTGTGTGCATGGCCGAATGTAGTCGTGTGCCCCAGTTTGTATGTCGCGTGCATATATTTGTTAATTAATAGAGCCTGGGTTCGAAACCTAATGCTTACATGTATTCTTGTGTGCCATTATGTATTAAATTGTGTGCCTGATAGTAATTTGTTGTGTGCCCATTATTTGTCCTCATTTGAACTCAACCATATATATATATATATATATATATATATATATATATATATATATATATATATATATATATATATATATATATACTTATTATTAAAAAAAAAAATCCTTCTTTCATTCTTGCCACACTTCTTCCCAAAGAATAGAAAATAAAAAATGAAAAAGGAAACAAAATTATCTTAATAACAACAACAACAACAACAACAACAACAACAACAACAACAATAATAATAATAATAATAATAATAATAATAATAATAATCTACTTCTATACTATAATTAAAAAAAAAATCATATTTACTTAATTTCCGCCCAAACAATAGTAAATAGTAAAAGTAAAATTAAAAAAGGAACGTGAACTAAAAAATGAATATAAATATGTCACAATAATATTCTACATCATCAATTAAAAATGGAACTAGAATTATGTAAATTGGAAAATGAAATTAATATTAATAATTGACTGAAAATTAAAAATGACAAAATGAATGAAAATTAGGTTAATTGAAAAAGAAAATGAATATTAATAATTGACTGAAAATAAAAAAGATTCATAATTGACTAAAATGGAAAAGAAAATGGTCAAATTATTGCATTTTAATTTTTCACAATAATATTACACAGTAGAAAAAATCAAATCACAATTATATCATACATCTTTCAGAATTTCAAACAATGGAACGGAAATTAAAAATGGAACGAAAATATTTCAATAATAATATTCTACATCATCAAGTAAAGGAAAATTAAAAATGGAAAAGAAATATTTCAATAATAATATTCTACCTCATCAATAGTAAAGGTAAATTAAAAATGAAACGGAAATATTTAAAAAATAATATTCTACATCATCAAATAAAATTAGAACGGAAATTAGGTAAAAATATCATTACATTTATATTTGAATTGACTAATTGACTGAAAATAAAAAAGAATAATTAGCTGAAAATGAATCTAATATTACTAATTGACTGAAAATATAAAAGAAAATGGATATTAATGATCCATAAATGACTAAAAAATGGTCAGATCATTGCATTATAATTAAAAATCGGACATAAATTAAAAATTAGATGAAAATATTTCAATAATAATATTCTACATCATCAATAGTAAATGTATATTTTAAACAATAGTAAAGGTAAATTAAAAATAGAACGAAAATATTTCAATAGTAATATCTACATCATCAATTAAAAATGGAATGAAAATTAGGTAAAAAATATCACTGAATTTGATATTCTAGCTAATTGACTGAAAATAAAAAAGAATAATTAACTGAAAATGAATATGATATTACTAATTGACTGAAAATATAAAACGATCATCACTAATTGAGTGATATTCTACCATTATATATTTTCACCCGAGTAACTCGTCCTAATGCACTGAAGCTGTTAGCTCTAGAGGAGGATGGACAAGATTGTGTTGACACTACCAATGTCGTCTACAAAGAGGTCTCAGTAATGTGTAAATACAATCGTTGATATTATGTTTTTTTTTAAATGACAAAATTGATATATATATATATATATATATATATATATATATATATATATATATATATATATATATATATATATATATATATATATATATATATATATATATATATATATATATATCTAGACAAAAAAAATATTCCATATATACAAATGAATTAAGATAGCGATTCATTCATATAACTTAGTTGCTAGAGAACGAGCACATTTGCCTAATTTAAAAAAAAAAAAAAAAAAAAAACTTAAAAATGATAAATAAAATCTCCAAAGTTACAGCACTGCATGCGTACATCTACACATTAACTATTAATTTGAGCAATTATTTGCTCAAATTCAACCAATAATAACATCAAAACACATAAATGATTCAAATCACATTTTCAATTGCAATATATAATATTTGATGTTCTAATTTAAATACTTATATATTGATCCAAATATTCTTAATATATTACAACAAATTCATTCCGTGCATTGCACGGGCGAAAAAAAAAAACTAGTTAATTCTTAATTAGAGGAAATTTCAATTTTGGTCATATGACTATAAGGGTCTTGTTAATTTCAATCCTTGACTTTTAAAAGTGTCAATTTAGTACCTTAACTATGCAATTTTTGTCAATTTTGGTCACTCCGGTCAAATTGCCGGCCAAATTTCGCCGAAAAATTTTAATTGTTAAAATAATGAGGGTATTTTGATCATTTCACGTCTATTTTCTTCTTCCCAGGCGAGTCCATCCCTTCTTCTCCCATTTCCGGTGAATGCAATGAACTAAGATGATGGAGAAAGGAGGCTTGATGGTATTAAAGATAGGGTTTAGAGGGAGAAAGAATGTCGGAAACGCCGGAGAAGAAGAAAAGAGGCGTGAAACGACCAAAATACCCTTATTATTTTAACCATTAAAATTTTTCCGGCGAAATTTGGCCGGAGTGATTAAAATTGACAATACCCCTATAGTCATATGACCAAAATTGAAATTTCTTCTTCTTAATTATAAAATAAACAAATTTGCATAATCTTTTTCTTTTTTTTTGAGATAAATTTCAATAATCTAAAACCAAACAGTTTAATTTTGATGTCGCCGGGAAAAGCTCAAAAGATTAATGCGGTGAGCATGGATCGAACACGCAACCTTCAGATCTTCAGTCTGATGCTCTCCCAACTGAGCTATCCCGGCACTTGGTTTTGCTGTCGAACCCTTTTTTAATATCCTTTTGAGCATACATCTTGCATTTCAATTCTTTGTTTGGGGATGTTAATGAACCAGAGAACAAAAGCAGAAGACCAGAACAGAATTGCAAGAGGAAGAAGAAGAAGAAGAAGATCAGAGTTTGCAGGAGGAAGAAGAAAATTGCAGAGAGAATTGAGAGGAAGATGTAAGTGTACAAATTAGTACACGTTAGATTGGCTAATTTATTAGTTTATTTTATTAGTATGTAATGTTAATTAGTATCAGTTGTAATTAATATTATTGGAGCAAGCTAAAATGTGTGGTGGAGATTTCACTTTAATGAGTTGAACCAAGAGCAAGTCTGAAGATCTCAAATTAAGGAATATGTGGTTGAGAAGAATTCAAGCCACATGAAAGCTACAATCAAGGCATGGGGAAATGGAATTTGCGTACAGTATATAAGGAAGAGAAAACGAAAGAGGAAGTTGCCAATTCTGAAATTCTGATCACATACGCAAGCTTCCTATATTACTACTTTAATATTGATTATGTTATATTTGTGATTTAATTCTGTACTTCAAGTCAGTACCTGTGACAGCTGAAGAGATACACCAAAGGTGGTTATGGCATGCACGGTTCAGTCCTGAATAGGTGTTTAAGAAGAGTTGTAGTGGTAAAGGCTGTGAGCCGTTTGTAGTTACCTCTTGTAATACTCCGTGGTGAACATCTATAGTGGATTGGGCAGACGTGGGTTGCCCCGCAGGCGTAGGAGAAGCGCTCCGAACTGCGTAACAATTCTACTGTGTCTTTACTTTATTTATGCTTTCAATTTCGTTATTTATTCTTTGATTAAATTGATTTCATTAAACAACGAAATTGTCTGGTAACATAAAATCAAGTAGAATCCTTATTGTTAAATTGATTTCAAGATACACAGGAATTTTCAATTGGTATCAGAGCCACCAGACTTAAGTTATTAGTCTGTCGATCTGGCTACTCCGTGCCCTTTGAACTCAATTCTTCAGCGGCTATTATTATTATTTTTGATTTTGTTAAATTGTTCGATCTCACGGGTTGTTGAGTGTTACAGAATGGAGCATACTAAGGCTCTTCCCCAGCTAGTCGGTGACAACTATGCATATTGGAAGGTGCGCACGCGCACTCATCTCAAAGCACAAGGTGAAGCAGTATGGTGTATCGTTGTAACAGGCTGGGATCATCCAACCAAAGCCAGTACCAGTGAGGATGAAACTCGAGTGACGAAACCTGAAAATGAATGGACCCAAGCTGAGAAAACGAGTGCTGGACACAACGATAAGTCACTGGATATTGTTTATGGGCTAATTCATGAAAGTCAATTTCCTATTGTTGCAGGCCATGATTCAGCTAAAGGCGCATGGGAAGCTCTAGAGGCTACTTATGAAGGCACAACGTCGGTGAAACAATCAAAACTGCAACTGGTACAGTCAGATTTTGAGGAGCTCCGGATGAATGAAGATGAAACCATCGTGACCTTTCACACTCGTGTGCAAGAGCTAGCAAATCGAGCTACGGTCCTCGGAGAACCGTTCACTCAAGAAAAGTTGGTGAAAAAAATTCTACGATCTCTACCACCTCGGTTCCGGATGAAAGTTACAGCTATCCAGGAACATGACAACTGGGAGAAAAAGACCGTAACACAACTAATGGGGAATCTAAGAACTTATGAGATGGAAATCTTAACAGATCACACGAAAAAACAAAAAATTGTAGCTTTTACCGCTGAAGAAAATAATTGTATACCTGATTTAGATGAAATAGGTGATGATGCAGTTGTATTTCTGACTAAACAGTTTTCTAAAATTTTGAAACAGGTATCAAAAGGTTCACGAAACAAGAATATGCAAAAGGGAGCGTCATCATCTAAAGCGAGTCCTAAATCAGGATCATCAACCTTCAAGCCTTCTGGTTCACGTCCAGGACAGTCCAAAGAGAAACCCAACAGTAAAGGGATCAGATGCTATGAATGTGAGGGCTTCGGACATGTACAAGCAGAGTGCCCCACCTATCTTCGACGCAAGAAATCTATGTCAGCAGTTACTTGGAGTGATGATGACTCGGACAGTGAAACAGGAGGATCTGGTCCAGACGAAATTTCTGGTAATTTTGTTGCCTTTACTGCACATATGGCTGCTGGACCGTGTCATGAAGATGTTGCTGATTCAGAGGGAGGCGAGTATATCTCTGCAGAAGATTTAGAGTCAAGTGAATCATCTTTTGAAATTGAGTTTAATAAGTTGTATCCCAAATGGGCAGCACTAAGGAAAGAAAATCGTAGATTAACTAGTGAAATAGGGATTGTAACAAATGCAAAGAAAGTGTATCAAACTCAAATAGCTGATAGAGATCTGCTTCTTAAAGAGGCATTAGCCCGAGAAGAAAAACTGAAACAAGAGGTACAGACTCTGAAGCAGGAGCTGAACACCTACAAACGCCAAATCCAAATGATGGATACCACGTCTACACTTGACGAGATCCTTGAGTCTGGAAGAAAGACTTCTGCAAAATTTGGTCTGGGTTTCACAGGAAACAGCTCAAAGGATAAAACGGTGTTTGTGAAAGCGTCAGGCCCTGGTCGAGGAGATATTCCAGAATCTAGCACAGCGACACATCGCGTTGGTACAGTAAGATCACTCAAGCCATATTATAAATCCTATAACCCGGTATGTCATTATTGCAGGTTACGGGGTCATACCGGACCTGAGTGCTATTACTTCTACAAGGATCAAAGAATCGAGAAGTTCAAACATAAGAACATCCAACCCTTTACAAGACAAATTTGGGTTAAAAAGACAGATTATATCTCATTTGTCTCTTTCCACTCTAAAAGTACAGGTCGAGAAGAAAAATGGTACTTCGATAGCGAGTGTTCACGTCACATGACAGGAAATCCTAAATTTCTGAGTAACGTAAATACAAGCAAAGGTGAAGTTACTTTTGGTGACGGTATAAAAGGACAAGACACTAGTATAGGCACGCTAAACGTAGTTGGTCTGCCAAAACTAGAGAAAGTTCTGCTAGTCAAAGGACTTCATGCAAATCTTATAAGTATAAGTCAACTATGTGACCAGAACTGGAACGTGAGCTTTACCAAAAATAACTGCAGTGTCCTAGACAAAACAAATCAATGTGTTATGGAAGGCACAAGGTCAACTGATAATTGCTATATTCTCACTAACAATGTTTTGTGTTGCAGGATTAATGGAGATGAAACTGAGCTTTGGCACCAAAAGCTAGGACATCTAAGTTACAGACTTCTTGACAAACTTGTGAAGATTGAAGGTGTTCGTGGATTACCCAAGCTAAAAGTCAAACCAACCATATGTGGTGCGTGTCAAGCAGGAAAGCAAACCAAATCCTCTCATCCAGCTCAGCACACCATAAACACAAGTCACTGCTTGGAACTGATCCACATGGATCTCATTAGTCCAACTCAAACAGAAAGTGTTGGAGGTAAGAAATACATACTAGTTTGCGTTGATGATTATTCTCGTTTTTCTTGGGTTACCTTTCTCAGGGACAAGTCTGAAACCCTCGAAGCCTTCAAAACTCTGGCATTAAAACTCCAAAAAGAAAGAAATGAACCCATCATTCGACTCCGAAGTGATCACGGACGAGAATTCGACAACAATCTGTTCGATACCTTCTGCAACCAAATAGGAATCACACATGAATACTCAGCACCGAAAACACCTCAACAAAACGGAGTTGTTGAACGGAAGAACAGCACAATTCAAGAAATGGGACGTGTTCTGCTCAATGCCAAAGGACTACCTCAAAAATTTTGGGCAGAAGCTGTGAACACTGCATGTCACATCATCAATCGGTCTATCTACGTCCAGACACGAATCAGACCCCGTATACATTATGGAAAGGTAAGAAACCAAACATTAAATATTTTCATATTTTCGGATCACGTTGTTTTATCTTGAAGGATCGAAACCCTGTCGCAAAGTTTGAACCAAAAAGCGATGAAGGCATCTTCCTCGGCTATTCAACGAACAGCAGGGCATATCGTGTATACAACAAAGTTACCAAAACCATCATGGAGTCCACAAATGTTGTAATCGATGATCAACCGAGCGATATTATCACAATGTCTCAGCCTGGACCAGTGACAGAACCTGACACAAATTGTCCTGAAACTTCTGATTCCAGAACCCCTGAACCTAATCCAGAGTCCTCTATGCCATCTCCCACATCAACTCAACCTGAGCAAGGAACTGAGTCTGAGTCTGAATCTGACACTGATCACTGTAACATTGATATCCCTACTCGCATCCGGAAAGCTCATCCAATACAAAACGTAATTGGAGACCCCAGTTCCGGCGTAAAAACCAAAGGTAAACCGAAACGTGATTACCTTTAATTAGCAGGATATTCTTGTTATACTTTGCAGATCGAACCGAAGAATATCAAAGAAGCTCTAACATACGAACACTGGATCAAGGCCATGCAAGAAGAACTGGGGCAGTTCGAACGAAATAAGAACAACTACAAAAGAGGAGGATCAGAAAAAACGTTATTTATAAAACGATCAGACTTATTCACCAAGCCGTTAGACAAATCGAGATTTGAACTGCTTAGAGCTGCCCTTGGGGTTTGCAATCCCACAGCTTAATCTTCCACACCAGGTACAACAAATAATCTCTAATTAATTTTTTTTGCTAACGTGGTTGTTGTTTATTTGTTGCAGGAAAATAAAATTCTAAACCTCTCCTTATTTTTAATATTCTCTTTTTACCATTCTAATTATGCCAAGCGTCATTAAGAACCCTATACCTGCATGTTTCCTTACACGGCTTACCTACCTTATATATCTATATATTAGTTTACACCACTACAAAATTAAATGTGTCTTGAAATAATAATTCCAAACAACTTCCACCACTCTCTCCTAGTATGACTCTACTACTACCCCTACAAACTAGTCACATCCTCATCCCATCCATCACAACTTTTGAGAAGCCCATTAATTAAATGTCTCCTTGTCTTTCTTACTCTTACACGCCAAACCCACACCCTTCATCTTCATCTCTACCACGCGCAATCACCAAACCTTCAACAATGGAAGAAGACAACCCTTTCGCCATTTTCACAACCAAATCTGAAAGATTGGAGCTATTTCGCCACATCATCAACGCTGAATCTCCTCTTACATCTGATGATATGGATCGAGTTCTCGCCACAATCAAGCACCATGCAAGCCTTCTTGAAGGACTCTCGGATAAGGAAATCAGGCAAATCCAAGCTTTAGCTCGGTTCATATCAGTGGAGTCGTGGGCTTTTCCGGCCGAATCAACCGAGCTACCTCCGCCACAATCCGAGTTCGTGCATGCCTCATCCCCGGAAACTATGGTAGTATCCTCACCTTTAGATGAAACTGTTTCTGTTTCTAGAAAATTAAATTTCAACATCTCTTTGCCGAATCAGTTTGTGTTTACCTCTACTGATATGTGTGCCCCTTCCTTTCCTTTACAAGGTGATCCGTATGATTCTTCTTCACATAAATTACCTGAAAATCTTCTGCCATTATCTGATTTTGTGCATGCTGTGTCAACTCCCTTCACCATTCGAAATATTAACCAATTTGTGTCTCCCATGACTTGTGCGGCATTCTCTATTCCCATAACCATCCCAGTCTCAAAATCAGTAGAGGCTCTCATCCCAGTGCCCACCTCACATGACTCTGTTCCTATCATCTCTATGCCCGTGGGCAAAGCTTCCCAAAAAGGGAAAGAAAAAATTACTGTTTTAGGTACAGCCGAGAAAAGAAAAATTGGAGCATTGGATGATGTTGTCTGCTTGTCTGATTCCAAGCAACAAAAAAAAGGGTCCACACTGCTACCCAGGATGACAAGGTCCAGATCAGTTTCAGGCCCAGTACCAAGTCCAGCCCCTGCATAAGCGACTGTCACTGTTCCTTCTGGCTCAAAGATAAAGAAACCCAAGACGTAATACCATCCGATTTTACTGTCTCTCGCCTTGATGTCTGATTGGCAAGTTCATGCTACTAGGGAATTTATTTTAGAGAAGTCCATCAATGTGGAAGACTTGACAGAAAAATGCAACATTATCCCTATCTTGCGAGATCAATGCCTGCTTGCATCCCTTGTTCATGTTGGACCGTATTCCACATGGCTCACTGCCGAGTTCTATACAAATTTTTCCTTGGATACTTTTTCGGAGGGGTCACCTCGGTTTCAACAGGTTTTCATCCGGGATAAATGGTATCTCTTAAGTCCAGCTGTGGTCAATTCCTATTTTGGCACTCCAAATCATCAAGCTGCCCCTGACCCGAGTCCTAATCTCCTAGCCGCTGCTTTAACTCACAACAAAGAAGTCATTTGGCCAAGCACCGGACTCGAAAGCCTAAAGCTCACCACGGTCTACTTTGTTCTTTTACGGCTTGCCTCAACAAATTGGATGCCGGCTGTTCGTCATCATCTTATGTCTGACCAACTTGCTGCCCTCCTTTACAAGATCAGGAACCGACTTTCCTTCAACCTTGGAGAAATCATCTTTGGGCATCTCGCGCAATTTGTGAGACGAAGGGAACCTAAGGTACATCTTCCGTTTCTTAGTCTAATTTTCGGGATTCTACAGGAACATGGGTTCAAGCCCTACAAAGATGAGGTGGTAACTGCTCATGACTCGGTCTATAAATATGATGATCGTTTAATTCATAAGGAACACTATGATGATAGAGCTACACTCATGATCACTCCCGGCGCACCAACTGTCACGCTCCCTGTGTCTGCCCCTGCATCATCCGCTGACACTGCTTCAGCTCCAAATCCACGTCCTACGGCAGTGCTCAAGGAACCTCAGACGCTCATGGATCGACGTCAAATTGTCCTCACTCTTCAAGCATCGATCGCTCAACATCGTACATCGGTTGCTTCTCAACAAATTACTATTGCTGGCTTAGAAAATTGAAGAGATGCTTAGTTGGAAGAAATAGCCCGAATAGAGGCCATCTATTCTCGAATTCGGTCTAATACTGGCGCTGGCACAGGTTCTATTTCTGACAGCGATGACTCTGAGTCAGGCACCCGGTCTACAAGTTAATCCAATCCACTAATATGATGTTCACCGTTTTTGTTTGTCATTTATTTGGCAAAAAGGGGGAGTATTGGAGAAAAGGGGAGTCTGAGAATATTTGGTTGGGAATATTTGGTAAGTTTTTGGTATATTTTGATATGGATGTTAATCCTTGGTATGACTTAAGTATTAATAATATTGGTATGACTTAAGTATGAATTGTCTTGGTATATTTGGTATGTTGAATGCATGGTATGAATCAGTTTTACTTGGAATGCATATGAAGAAAGGAAAGCTCCAAATTAGGGGGAGTAACTCAAATTACAGTATGGAAAGCGTGACATATATGGTATGCTTGATACAACATTATTTCATGCATGATTCACTATTTGTTAATTGGATGAAGTATGTGAGTCAACATCAACTAAGGTCCAAAATAAAATCCCACACACAAATAAGCTTTGGTCTGGTCCTAAAAGAATTAAATTGCACATTTATTTTTTTTCTATATGTTCAGTACGTATACTATGGGATGTTAATAAAATATTCGTTCTTTTTCCCAAAGTATAATGATACTATTGTTTTACTAAATAAATTGCCAAAGGGGGAGATTGTAAGTGTATGTACAAATTAGTACACGTTAGATTGACTAATTTATTAGTTTATTTTATTAGTATGTAATGTTAATTAGTATGAGTTGTAATTAGTATTATTGGACCAAGCTAAAACGTGTGGTGAAGATTTCTCTTTAATGAGTTGAACCAAGAGCAAGTCTGAAGATCTCAAATTAAGGAATATGTGGTTGAGAAGAATTCAAGCCGCATGAAAGCTAAGGCGTGGGGAAATGGAATTTGCGTACAGTATATAAGGAAGGGAAAACGAAAGAGGAAGTTGCCAATTCTGAAATTATGATCACATACACAAGCTTCCTATATTCTGCTTTAATATTGATTATGTTATATTTGTGATTTAATTTTGTACTTCAAGTCAGTACCTGTGATAGCTGAAGAGATACACCAAAGGTGGTTATGGCATGCACGGTTCAATCCTGAATAGGTGTTTAAGAAGAGTTGTAGTGGTAAAGGCTGTGAGCCGTTTGTAGTTACCTCGTGTAATACTCTGTGGTGAACATCTATAGTGGATTGGGCAGACGTGGGTTGCCCCGCAGACGTAGGAGAAGCGCTCCGAACTGCGTAACAATTCTACTGTGTCTTTATTTTATTTATGCTTTCAATTTCGTTATTTATTCTTTGATTAAATTGATTTAATTAAACAACGAAATTGTCTCGTAACATAAAATCAAGTAGAATCCTTAGTTTAAATTGATTTCAAGATACACATGCATTTCCAGAAGAAGATAACAATTGTATAACGTTGCTGCCGAACTTCAATTTTTCATCATTCTGCAGACGCCGAAGAGGTAATCTCAAAGTCCCATACTGAAAATTGTTAAATTAAAAAGAAGTTTTTAAAATTCGAGTGTAGTGTGATGATAAATGATTATATGTAACGTTGAAGAGTTAGCGGGTTGTTTTTGTTTCGTTTCTGCCATTTGGACTTCACACCAAGTGTTGAGTTATTGCCTCAAAGAGAGGCTTCATTACCATGAGTTCTTTTCACTGCATTCCAGTGGAGGTTGGTGCTTAATTTGAATAGTATACTAACAATTCTTGATTTTCTTTTCTGATTTTTACTATGGCTGCTTGTGCTATTATTTTATACAAATTGCTACCCTGAAATAGTATATGGGCAACTAACAAGTGTTTTTATGGAGTTAATTTTGGGCACTAATCCAGTCTGTGTTTTCTGTTTGTTTGATTTTTTTTTTTTAATTATTTGATTCAATTTCTATATATACGTGGAAAAAGAATATATCTGAACTAAGTGCCGCTACTTAGATGATTTTTTTTTCTGGAGGTTGGTGCGGGGGCAATGGGTATCTAAGTTTAAATCTTTTAGCTTTTACATGTTTTCTTCTACAACATGGACTGTGTTGTGCACCCATAAGTTCAAAACTTTGTTGACTAATCAAAGTATCAGATGGCATGCTATTCCAATTGTTGTAATAATCATAATGCAAAATTGATATGCATGAAAAGGGGGATGAGTTTTTTATAATGAAGAGCAAACAGACAATGTAGACTTAATGCACTTTGGATACTATTAGATGTTGTCTTTGCAAAAAATGTAATTAGTATAATGAAGCTGATGTTTTGGTGGTTGTTTGGTGACTGATACATTCAGTGAGCAATATTCTTTCACTGTTTCCCTTATGCAATCTTGTGACATTATCACTTCATGTTTTCTTGCACTTATCTCTCTGTAAATGCGAAAAACTTGAATTATATATATTCAAAATTCAAAGTATCGGTTACAAGTAGTATGTATCAATCAAGAAGGGGTACAATCTCTGTATATGAGAAGTCCTCTGATTCTCTACTAGAAGTATGCCTATTAGATGTGTGCCAAATTTGGAATATGCCAAATTGGAAGTGTGCCGAGTCCAGAGTATGCTGAACTTGAAGTATGCCGAGTTCGGGAGTATGGCCGAACTGGAAGTATGCCGAGTTCCTTGTTGGAAGTGTGCTGAGTTCAGAGTATGCTGAACTGGAAGTATGTCAAGTTCGGGGGTATGGCCGAACTGGAAGTATGCCGAGTTCGGGAGTATGCCGAACTGGAGTAGTTCCTTGCTGAAGGACCTCCGGAGTTGGTAGCTTGTTCCTCAATGAAGGGCTAATATGCAGCTTGATCTTCAAAGAAGGGCTTCCAGTTTTCAAGTGGCGTGTTCCTCAGTGCGGTATACGCAGTACAACTGCGGGCGTGTTCTAGACGATATCCTGGCGAGACTTCGGCAGAGCTTCACTATGCAGATTTCCAGAGCTTTAATTCTTGAAAATGAAACCACTATTTATAGTGGTGAGGGTGAGGGAAAATCTCCAACCAACTCTTAATTCCTTATTTAATTTAATTATTTTAATTAAATTAAGGAACGTATCGGGACACCATTGCGTCCAGGTTCATGATTTCATCAAATTTCCACATAATATCAAATATCCAAATTCCTCAAAATTATATAATCCACATATAATTTTAGTGGGCCAAGACCAAGTCAAACCCGCTATATGCAACCCAATTAATCCAAGCAGCCTGGTCCGATTTAATTAAATATTCCACCAACTTAGGCCAAACAATTCAACATTCAATTACATTTAATTAAGTAATTAAACCAATTAATTATTTAATGGGCCATTTAATTAACCCAATTAAATAAATATTAGTCCAATTAAATTAATTAAAGTAATTAATTTAAGAATTAAATATCCACCACGGTCCAACAATATTATTTAAATTTTCAATGCTTAAAAATTGCCCCTTCGAGACTTGCTTGACGTGCCTCAAATGCAAAGAGAAGGTAGTCTCGAAATTAACCGTAGTAGTCCAAGAGTCCAATTTTGCAAATAACAGCCCAAAATATTATATTCCAAAATTTTTTTTTTGCCAAGATCCAACAAAACTGTAGGCAAAAGCCCAACTATAGAGGCTTGTTTCCTTTTTTCCCTTCTAAAAACTGTTTTTTTTTTTTTTTTTTTAAACTTTGGCCAACTTGCAATTTTAGCTTTAACTGAAATCAATCTACGGATCTTCCCAGAAGTTGAACCTTCCTGAGAATTTGGCCAGATACACCAAATGACACAACCCTTATCCCATCATGAATTGTAGCAACGGATCATACCCGTGGTAAATAATATTAAACCCTTTTCATACCCCACCACATAATTAACCACAAAATCATAAACTGATAAGGATTGAGTTAACAGAATTAGAGGTCCAACACACTCAAATTCCTCATCCTCTGACTATAAATAATGTAACAGTTCACCATCCTTTTCCCAAACCAAGAGCAGAGCTAGCTACCTGCAGTTAATTTCACCGAGCTTCAATCTTCACTGTGACAAGGTAATCTTTCTTCTTGCAACTATCTATATTCTTGACTTTCTTTTGACAGGGGAAGAAGGAAGACGAGACATGTGAGGCATTGGGTAGAAAACACTGAAAATTGATTTTCTGAGGTGTATTTCACCATTGATTGAACTCACCGTCGACTGGAAATTGATTCTTTCCGGAATGGTTTGGTTTCGCGCCGTTAACCCTTTGGGGACGAAAGCTGCCGTGTAATCATCGGGCACGCGCTCCGGCGCGTTGCCGTTGCCGTAAGGTCGCCGCAGGGTGTTGCTCCGGCACCCTTCCATTTCTACGAACGGGAGTCCGAAACCACCGTCTCGGAAACAAACTATGCTTTGTTTCTTCTCCTCCACTTTGTTTAAAGAAAATTTCTCGTGCCCCAGGAGTTCGCCATGCACCATAGAATCGTCGCCGAAGGACCAATTGCTTGGACCGACTGCCGGCGAGCTTGACAGAGAAGAAAGCTTGTTCAGGCTTCGCTGTGTTCGTCGACAAAGGTGCCAAAATAGGAGTTTATTTTCCTTTGCTGAAGTTCTCACTTTAATTTATTTTATTCTTTGCATTTAAACTAAGACTGCATAGAGCCATGTGCCGTCACACTTTCCCATGTATGCTTGCGTGTGGACATAGTTTTCTTTGAGGGCAACATTGAAATACAATCCACAGTTCTATTTGCTTTGTTTCTTTCCCATCACACTTTGCTTTGTCCTTTTCCCCAAAATATAATAGCATTACTCTGTCCTTGTTTTTTCGTGCATGTGTATACACGTTGTCTTATCTTGTTAGCTTTTAATAATTCTCCACTGCAAGCGTGTATATATACATATGTATATTAGCATGCATTCCACTACATTGGTTTCTCGATTCTCGTGACATACACATATATATAACATAATATGCATAGTGGTTTGGTTTGCATATGATCTGGGTGTGTACATAATAATTTATATATGCACTGCACTGGTCCATGTGATAATATATATATATATATATATATATATATATATATATATATATATATATATATATATATATCTTTGGCTTGCACCTTGCAAATTATATATATGTAAATGCATAATAATATATATACCTATGTATACACGTACATAATATATGATATATGTACGTGATATGTGTACTCATAAAGTATATATATTATATTAGTTGTTTTGTGACACATTGTGACATGAGAATTTCCTTGAACACTTTCATGATAATTTTCTTCGGACTTTTAGTCTCATAACATTTTCTTTGCTTTATAAATTTTGGACAACTTTCGGACTTGACATCTTGGTCCTTAATGCAGATTCATACATCGCAAACCATTTTTGAACAATGGTAGTGTTTTGGGAAACCGTGGGAGCCGATCAGAAGAGGAGGCTCAAAGTATCAAGCGACGAGACTGGAAAAGATAGCATGTCGTTCATCGTTTACCCACCAATGGCGTCGAGAACTCGTCTTTCCCAGATACCGCCATATAAAGTGGAAAATTGGACCCATGACACTGACACCCAGCCATCGAAAACATGGGTTCTGAAGACCGGCTTAAGTCATGTGGACTACACAGACACACTCCCGACTTTAGGGAGATGGATACTTGAAGGTGAGGCTTCATGGAATCAGCACCCCAGCTTTAAAGGTGAATTTAGCTTCACAAAGGGGTATTGGGAGTGGACTGAGGCTATACTCAGTCGGCATCGCAAACTTCTAGAGGATGTGACGATCTACGACGGCGTATATGCCTCCTTATTCACATATGACCGCTCGACGCCTATCGTCCAAGCATTCTGCGAAGCGTGGTGCCCCATGACAAATACCTTGCTTACATCCCTCGGTGAGCTTTCAATCTCACTTTGGGATATGCATGTACTTTGTGGTCTACCGATATCTGGCGACATCTACGATGAGTATGTTCCAACTGCCTCGCAATTAACAGGGGAAGACATCAACTCCGCCCCTCAATGTTGTAAGTATTTGTTCCAAGCATACTGTCACCTTGGTAACCGAATTAGGCAACGAGGTGGTCGCCGTGGGCAACAGGAGAAAAGTCGTTCAGTTCACGTTGTTGAGTGGATAGAATTCTGGAGCAGAAGACCGCAAGTTTATGACAGGCCACCGCCTAGGAAGGAGGATAAGAAGAAGACTCGCCCGAGGAACACCCATAATCCAAGTGGCAAGATCCCAACATTCGGGGGTTGGACCAAAACGACCAAAGCGCCTTTTGCTGAGCTTGGAATTCCCTCCGAATACGAGGAAGAGACCCATTTGGCGGCATACCTAAGTTGTTGGCTGTGCGTATTCGTGCTCTCCATCAAAGCAACGCGACTCATTCGAGCCCAAACATTCCAAATGGCTAGTCTAATGGCGACGGGCAAAACACTGAACCTTGGGATCCCCGTACTTGCGAGCATTTACAATGGATTGAATGTAATATCGCACTCTAGTACGCCGGGGTCA